AAAAACCGTTGTAAAACCCTCAAAAACCATCGAAAAACCAATAAATTATAGTGCATTCGAAAGTAGAGATGATGGGCTATCTAACTATGTATAAATCTAAAAATCGATATTTTTGTCGAAAATTTCTTTTTTTTGAGAGGGGGATGGGTCTTAAAGCAACATCTATTACAAATTTACACAAAAATAACTGAAATATATCAAAACATTTAAATCCTGAAGATTATGAATTCACGGTTGATTTTGGAACTGAATTGGTCGGGTGATTATACGATTAGATATTACTCTTGAAAAAATGAAAACAGATCAAGAGGTGGCATTCAAAAAGCTTAGAAATGAAGTTACACAAAAAATCCAAAAAATGGAAGACGAATTTATATTAAGACTGGAGAAAGTTTTTGATGATATCGATAATGCAAACCTTATAGCCAAAACTCAAGATATTAGGCGTTTGATACCAAAAAAGTACAAAGTATCCTTTGAAAGTGAATGACATGCCATATTTGTACGATTACCATGATAATAGCAGCTTTTTCACGGATTTATTTTTTTCTTCGATTATTAAAGAGTGAACTATTCGTACAACATCCACAGCTACACATACGTCGAAACCTGAAAAATTCGCAATGAGATAAGAAAAGGTACCCAATTATCCAAAACTCTCTACACACAAGATTTTGTTGTAATCTTCGTGAGATTTCAAGTGGAATTTTTGCTTGGATATGGGCGGTGCAGAAACAACTATATTAACAACTTTAGTTTTAAACAAATATTTGCATTGATGAAATTTCAAGAAAAAAACTAAAAATATTTGAAAAAACAACGTGCCTGAAGCCGCCAGAGGCGTATCGGGGCAAAGTGTTCAGTTTTAGTAGCATAGCAATAAGTTTTTACCATTGGCACATGACGAGCGCTAGAAATATGAACGCGACGTTATTCGATGCAGAAATGTTTATTCTACACACCTGTTCACTTAGTTTCTTCAATAGACGTTTATTTAAAAAATTATAGCCTCTATGGGCCACGGGGCCGTAGGACGGGGCGAAGAATTCTCAAATCCGTTCTTCTCAAGCAAATCAAATCAAATTCTCAAAGCAGCTGTACTCTAACCCATGTCTTCCATTCCGGCGTCAGGATCCTGCCGGATCCAACATCGGCACGGATTCCTAGCAATGGATTTCCGGCTTGATCCAGTATGGTTGCTGCCGGGTTTTACCGAATTCCATCAACTTCCGGCATGTTCCGATGTTGGATCCGGCAGGATTCTGCCGCCGGAATGGACAACATACCCTAATCTAGTATTTACGCTGAAAGTTTCAGCCTTCAAGCATGTTTCATTTCAGAGATATAGAATTTTTCATTTTTCAAGGGATAGCTGTCAGTACATTTTGTGGTTGCAAATGTACAGAAAGAATGAAAAAACACAATTCACATAGTTTCAATAAACATCGATTAATGGCATTCAATGAATCGTTAGAATTACTTCGAAATACTAAAAAAGGCTTTGTATTTGATCTATGCAATAGTGAATTCAATATAAGACATAGCAAATGGAAAGAACATTCACAAAGTCAGCTTGTAGTTCAAGAAAACCAATCCATCAGGAAAAGAATGAGCCAATATTCTGTTGGCGTATGAGAGGTTACAATAACATTATCCTGGCATGATAGTAAAGGGATGGACACAATAGAGGACCTCCCTACGATAGAAGACCCCTCCTGTTACAAGATCCCTCTTGAACTCATAACGCAAAAACCACGCTAGAAGACCCCCTTCTTTTATCGATTTTTTGACCTAAAATATGTTGATTTTGAGGTTCAATCAAACACTAATCTTTGCGTTTGCCTT